TCTCTTTTTCGTAACAGCAGCATGAAAAATTAGGTCCACAGAAAATGTTTTATCTGTACTGAAAAATGAGCATATTCATGTTGATTTGTTCCATAAATAATTTCTAATACAAGTGAAATTCTACACTAATCTACACGAAAGGAGAGAAGGGGGAGTTTGAATCTATGACGCAGTAGCTTGACGAGAAAGACCCTAATCACTAAGGTAATCCACCACTTGCTTCCAACAAATTGAGAATTCATGTTTAGTTAGACTCAACACATTTGTGAACATCAATGATCTTTTGGAGAAACTTTATATGCACAAGTATTACACCTGGACTATTACCTTTACATGATGCTATCATATTGTTTCTTAATTAGGGCATATTCTTGAATTAATGTCTCTCAAAATATCACTTCAAACTTTAGTAGTAAACATCATTCTCTTACACCTTAAAATAGTGCAATGTATATATAGTAAGTGCTCCAACCACTTAATTGACAAAAGAAAAATAAAAATAATTATAATAAACCCACTTCTTATAGGAAGAAATTTCTTATCTTCTCATTATATATTAAAAATAAATGATTAAATGCCACAAGCATGCCTTTAAAAAAAATATCATCAAAACAAAGACCCTAGATTCCTTAACCAAAACAAATGCTTTAGCCAACACCGCAAATTTGGGTTATAAATAAAAAGAAAAATGTATTGGTGTCCAAAAATATATTCTGCAAAAAAAGAAAAGAAAACCGTTTTATGCTTTTACGTTGTCTGTGCTCTATACCCTTTTCTGGAACGAAGAGAGATGACAGTATGACATAGCTAACTCACATGTTACAACCTTTCCTCCCTGCAAAATACGTGTGCATTTTTGCTGTATTGCATAAAAACAAGTTATTGGCATGCATCTGTCACCTTCTTATTTCTCAATGCCACCTTTCTACAACAAACCTTAAACAAACGGACCAAATATCTTTGATAATGACAAATATATATAGAGAGAAACCACGGCAATTATCACAACAAAGACAGCAAAAAGAAAAGATATTTAATGACGATGAGTAGTAAACGATTACCTTTAAAAATCCACCACAAAATTAGTGTTATTGATATTTAGACATGCTAAATTCCCAGACACTTAAACTCACACACGCTTAAGCTCACACACACATGTCATAGAGATAAGTTTTAACGTTATGTGTGGGACCATCTAGATTCGAAGATGCTAAGTAACTATGTCAGTTTTGTGTGTTTTAACAGCATCTAACCAAAATTAATTAATTAATCTTACCTGGGGTATGGGGAGAATAACAAAGAGGTCAAACAAAAACCCCTTCTTTGACTTCAAGTACTTGAGAGCTACAGACCTTGGACTAGTGTCGCGCAGCCCAGTGGCTCCTCCACCATCCCCCCCAACCATTGCAGTGAAGGAGTAGCGCTTGGCCATCTTCAGCTGCAACCACATGTTCCACACGTGCAGAACGTCCGTCATGCAGCGGAGCACGGTCACCGTGATGGCAAGCCACCCGTCCACAAACAGACACATACAGCTCTGGCTAATGGACAAGGCATAGAAGAAGAGAGGGTCTATGATGAGCCCCGATGCACACACAAGGAGGAAAATCCTGTTCCATTCTTGAATCCATTTTGCCCTCGGGTCGAGAACTTGGCCTAGCGACCAACCGGGCCTCCTCCGACGCTGCAACGAACACATGTTGTACAAGCAGTTGTTCTCAAAATTTCCTCCATGAGATGTACTGCTTCCATCACTTTCTTCGTCGTCTTCTCGTACCTCGTGGTCTTCGTGATCTTCGGATTCCGATTCTTCGTCGGAGATATAGTGTTGCATGCGTGAAGAAGTCTGAGAAATTTCGTGCTCACCAGGCATGGTGGTGAGTAATGGGATGGGTGGGAATTAAGTTTATGCGTTTTGATGAGCAGCTTTGCTAGCTTTGAAATGATGTATGGATTCGCCTCAAGGACAGCAATAATTGGAGAGGTGGGTGATGACAAATTTTATTTTGAAATTACCAGATTGCCCTCCAGTTAAAATCCACTCCGGATCATTTCTGAGTTGTACAGGGTGATGTGGGCAAGGATTCTCTCCGATACTTCCTCCCTAATATTCATCGTCAAATAATTTGGATTCTTGAAATTTAATCTAACGACTACGAACAGAAGTTCATTTTAAAAGTTATAATAATTTTAACCGTTAAATTAAATTTCAAAAATCCTAATTATTTAATGAGGAGAATTAGATAGAAGAGATCCGAAGATGATCCATTTCCAATATACTTGTTTGACCGATCACCAATTACTCTATTCATATAAAAATATATTATTTTACCATCATTGTACACGGTACTATCATTGATGTTGCTTTGCAAAATTCGGATTGAGGCAGAATGATTTTATTTGTGGAAGTTTTAACCAAATATTTTCAGTACTGTTCATTTTTAACGAAAAATCATATTTTTATCTTTTTTTTATACTATTCACTACACATTTATTTGTCATTTTTTATTAAAATTAAAATTTTTTTTTAAACTTTTCGTTAGTTCTCTTTTTATTTATTTACTTTGTTTTAAGCATCCAAATGAGTACAATATTTGCTCAATTTTTTTAAGGCATACAAGCACAAGTTGAAGAGCTGAACTATCACGAGTACATTCTACCTAAATAAGGAAAAATGCTAGGTGCCTTTGTTTGTATCTTCTTTATTTCGATAATTAAGTGAAGTATATGTTAAGTTTAGTTCCAATTTCAATTAAGTAGACCTGATTTATTCATTTTCTTTCATAATAGTGTAATTCAAATGACATTTTTTCAATAGAAAATAAACATTGCTAAAACTTAGTTGTTCTTTGGGAAAAAAAGAAGAAAAATTTTCAGCGATTTATTAATCATAATATAATAATACAATCATCTCCAACAGTTGGATCTAAGAAATTTGACTTATATTATCCGCGGGTGCATCACAGATGGTGCACAGTGCACTACATAGAATGAACTCCAGCTACATTTTAGCTCTTACTTACACGTGGTGGTCGCCCTCTGGCCGATATGTTAAAAATAGAAGAAATATAATAGGATGTATCAAATATTTTAGGAGATAGAGAAAATGGGGCAGAAACAAAAGTGGTGCCTTAAAAGGAGGAGTGTGATGCTCCGCCGACGAGCGCGTCCTGTAGTCGAAGCGTCGTCCGAGATCTGACCGGTTAGCCCCTCTTTCTCGAAGCTCTGGTTGCGAATCCGGGGACTTGGCTCGGCTGTCGCGATTAGTTGGGGAAACTGTGAGCGAAGTAGCTCCTCTGGCGGCTCGTGGGCGGCCTGCCCAGGTGAGGAGATCTGGATCTGGTGGAGATCTGAAAGTAGAAAAGGTACATGTGGTTGGCGCTCGTGGTGGTGGCCACTGGGGGTGAGTGGGGTGCGGCTCTTCTGACTCGCCATGGCTGGGGGAAGTCCGAATGAGGACCTAGAGGAGTTGGGGACACGATTTGGGACCAACCTCATCCTGTCTGAGAAAGAACAGGGAGGCGTGTGTATTGAGAGCAAGGATGTCGAAGGTGCTCTATTAGGGTTTTAGTACACCCTGATTGCAGAAGTTCTCACTGCTAAGGTGGTGAAAGGAGATGTGTTTGTTGACCGTTTTATGTCTCTGGCGTGGACGTGAGGGGGTCTCGATTAAGGAGATCCGAGATCGGAGATTCCTCGCTCACTTTTGCGGGGAAAAGGGATCTGCAACGGGTGGTTGAGGCTGACCTGCCTTAGATGTTCAAAAATGACCTTGTATTGGTGGCAGATCGAACGGACAAGGGGCTGAACCGATGGACCCCCCTATTCCTATGAGTGTTCTGGGTCCAGCTACATAATGTCCCGGTGCTCAGTATGACCCAAGCGGTAGTTGAAACAATAGGTAGTTTGATGGGTGAGGTTCGATCGGTGGACAAAACTGGGAGCCGAGACTGCATTGGACGATTCATTCGGGTGAAAATTGGCTTCAATGTTCGCGAACCCCTAATGAGAGGGACCTTTGTGACCTTTCCCGACGATGGCAAGATCTGGATTGATTTCAAGTATGAATCGCTTCCTAACTACTGTCTCATCTGTGGAAAGCTAGGACACCCTACTAGGATTTGCAAGGAAACGTTGGATGAAAGAACAGATCCAGAAGATGGCACCAAGACGAGGAATGAGGCCTTTGCGTTCAGTGGGTTCGATGCAGTGTCGGACCTGAGAGGCAATCCACTGGGAGCTGGACCCAGGAATAGGGCATCCTTTGGGTCAAATGGTGGACAGAGTGGATCGGAGCGGTGGAACGATGAACTGGGTGGTGGTAGACGCTCCGGGCGGTCCTCGACGGCGTCAGGAATAGGATGTCAACCCCAGGAATTTGCTAGCAGATCTCAGAGCAACAGTGAGTGCATCGCGCCGTTGGAGGAGAAAGTTATTGACACTGCTACATCGCCAAGCAAGCCCAGGTGGTCGTCTAACAAAATGGGACACAGAGACAACGTGCTTGCTGGAAAAATTCGATGTCAACGGCTAGTTGAAGAAGAGGCGAGGTCTACGAGAGAACTGGCTTTCGATGCAGGCTTAATTGGGCCAGAGGGTGCGGTGGCAGCGGGAGCAGAACACGTGGTACTCAACGACCATTACGAGCAGGAGGGAAGGGTGGATACGGTCAGTATGACTCTGAATGGAGGCTCTACCTTTGATCTTAACCTTATGCCTGGCGTTGGTGAGGATGGGGACAGTGTAAGTGTTAGTCGGAGGAAAGCTAGTGAAGATCGGGGGTGTGTGAGTGGGTGTGATTTGGTTACGGATGATGATCCTTTTGAGCTGGAAGCTATCATTGAAGCCGTGATGAACGAGAATAAAGGCAAAAAGAGAAGTGTCAGAGAGGTGGAGTATGATGAGGTTAATCCCTGTGTGGAACCTAAAAGATCTAAGCTAAGTAGGGAGTCATATGTTGAGGCGGAGGAGACCAGCCGTGAAGGGTCTCCCAAGTCCAAATGAGGCTACTCACTTGGAACTGTCAGGGTATCGGGGGTGACTTGACAGTTGACAATCTGCTAAAGCAGAATCGGCTCCACACCCCTGACATTGTGGTTTTGCTGGAAACCAAGAATAAAAGTAGTCGGTATGGGTATCTCAAGAATACATGCACGCTGTGGAACCCAGAAACATTGGGGGAGACCTCTGTGTATTCTGGCGGGATGTTTCCCAGGTCACTCTGATGATGTCTGAGGACTTTGTTATTGAAGTTAAAATTTGGGATAAGCTCAAGAAGTGTCACTGGTATTTGTTTGCTATCTATGCTAGTACTGATGAGAAAAAACGGCGGGATCAATAAGGGTATTTGAGCAGGCGGCTTGGGAACAATAAGGGAATGACTCTTCTCATCGGGGATTTTAATGACATTCTGTGTAATGATGAGAAAGAGGGGGGCAACTACAGACCGATGTCTAGTATGCAAGACTTTAGAGAGTTTGTGGCTCAAAATGAGCTCATGGACTTGGGTTTTGTTGGCTATCCGTTTACGTGGCGGAACAACCAAGAGGCGAAGCCTATTCAGCAGCGCCTGGACAGGGGTTTGGCTACAATGGGTTGGCAGGACCTTTACCCTGAGAACACAATCAGGCACGTGGTTCTGGAAGGGTCGGATCATGCTCTGCTATTTTTGTCCACGGAGAAAGTGAAAGCATGGAGGGGGAAGGAAATTCTCTTATGATGCACGATGGAGCAATATGGAGGAGTGCCGGCAACTGGTGGTAGAGGAATGAAGAGATAAACATGGGGGGTCACACGCCTTTCACTTTTGTGAAAAACTGAAAGCCTTAAGGCACAGGCTTAAGGAATGGTATCGAGGGAGAGGAAGGAACTCAAAGAAAGTTATCGAGCAGTTGAAAGAGGAGATTAGAACGGCTTATATGTCTACCGATTTTGCCTCGGATGTGGTTAAGATGAAGGAGAGTGAGCTCAGGGCCGCTCATCGAAACGAAGAATCTTACTGGAGGGTGAAGTCGCGTGCCCAATGGTTAAAGGAAGGTGATAAAAATTCTAAGTTCTTCCATGCCCAAACTCTCAAAAGAAGGAGGTTCAACCAAATCAAGGGATTGGAGGACGTGAATTGAGTGTGGCAGGAGGACGAAGCAGTGATCTTCTCAATTGCTACCTCTTATTTCGCGGAGTTATTTAAGTCGAGCAGGCCTGGGCAAATCGATGAGCTTAGGGAATGCCTGGCACCACGTGTGTCTGCTGCGGACAACCTTGCCTTAACGGCAGCGGTGTCTGAGGAGGAAATCAAAATGGCTGTCTTCCAAATCCCTCCAATTAGGGCCCCGGGTCCGGACGGGTACTCTGGATGCTTTTACCAGGATCATTGGGATACAGTGGGCAAGGATGTGATCAAGATAGTCAAAGCCTTCTGGCATTCTGGTACTATTATGAGGAAACTGAATCATATTAACCTTGTGCTTATTCCTAAGGTTAAGTGCCCGAAGAACATGACGCAATACCGGCCTATTGCACTATGCAATGTAATCTACAAAGTCATTGCCAAGGTTCTCACTAACCGGCTAAAGATGGTGATGCCAAAGGTGATTTGTGGCAACCAATCTGCCTTTGTGGCGGGGAAACAAATTCAGGACAACATTTTGGTGGTGCACGAGCTTATACACTCACTACTTCATAAAAAAAAAGGTGATCAGACTGGCATGGATATTAAGCTCGACATGGCTAAGGCGTACGACCGCGTGAAGTGGGTGTTCCTCTTATCCATGATGGCGAAACTGGGGTTCGCTCCTCTATTTTGCAACTGGATTAAGGAGTGTATTTCCACTGCCTCTTTCAGCATCCTAGTAAACGGGAACCCGACTGGGCTTGTCCTGTCGGAGCGAAGGCTGCGACAAGGAGACCCCCTATCTCCCTATCTCTTCCTGCTCTGTACGGAAGGTCTTTCTATGCTCATTAGGAGAGGGATGGAGCGGGGTGCCCTCCACGGGTTATGTGTGTCGGCTAATGGGACCCCGATCTCGCATCTGTTTTTTGCGGATGACTCGGTGTTATTCGGTCATGCAAGTGTGGAGGAGGCGAGAGGCATCGTTGAGGTGTTACGGACATACGCCCGTGGCTCGGGCCAAGCTGTTAATCTGTCCAAAAGCTTGATTTTCTTCGGCTGGAAGACCTCGAACAGGGTGAGGAGAAAGATTGGCCGGACCATGGGAATCCAATGCAAGACTGGGTTTGGTAGGTATCTTGGGCTGCAATCTGATTTTGGCCACTCTAAAAGAGTGGTTTTTGAAGAGGTGCGGGACAGACTTGAATCTCGGCTAACAGGTTGGGCTGAGCAATTTCTATGTCAAGCAGGAAAGGAAGTCCTTGTCAAGGCAGTGGCCATGGCGATGCCAAACTATGCCATGAGCTGTTTTAAACTACCCATTGGGGTATGTAGAGACCTGGAGAAAGCTATCCGGAATTTCTGGTGGAGAGGGAGCGAGCAGAGAAAGGGGGTCCATTGGATCTCATGGGAGCGGTTAATGAAACAAAAATGAGTTGGCGGGCTGGGCTTTAGGGATATCCAGTGTTTTAATCTGGCGTTCCCCGCCAAGATTGGGTGGCGGCTGATCCAGAATCCGGGGTCTTTGCTCGCTATTGTTCTGAAGGAAAAATACTATCCTGGGAAGAGTTTTACTGAGGCGGGAAAGGGTAGGAACACGTCGTGAGGTTGGAAGGGCATTTTTGATGCCCGAAAGGTGCTCCTACAAGGCCTGCGGTGGCGGGTAGGGGACGGGGCCTACATCAATATTAGGGAGGACTCGTGGTTTCCTAGGCCCTCTACTTTTAGAGTTATGCCTTTAGTAAACTTGCAAGCTACTTTGGTAAGTGAGTTAATTGATTCAGGGTCCAGCTCTTGGAAAAGTGAACTGATTTTGGCAAGCTTTCACCGGGACGATGTGGGACCGATCTTAAGCATCCCCTTAAGCAAGACTGGGTGCCGGGACCGGATGGTGTGGCATTACAACGCGAATAGGGTTTACTCGGTTCGATCGGGGTATGGAGTGGCTATGAACCTTATGGAAAATGGTGCTTTGGGGAAGAAAGGCCGAGGGTCTGCTAGCGACAAGCCAAAAAATTGCTATGCTTGGAACTTGATCTGGAAGTTGAAGGTACCTAACAAAATCAAAATTTTTATCTGGCGATGTTGTAACAACGCTCTGGCTGTTCGACGTAACCTGAAGCGGAGACATATGAGAGTGGACAATGGCGGAACTTTAGGACACCCTTGGGGAAATGCACCTGGTGCGAGTTTGTGGTGCTATGGATGAGTCGAAAACTCATATATTCTTCCGATGTCACCTTAGCCACCTGTTCTGGTTCTCCTCTTCGCTTCAGTTGAATTCCTTTGAACTGGCAGGAGCAGACTTCCTATCTAGCTAGGAGTTGTTCTGGACTCGGGTCAAGGGGAGAGACAACGCGGAGGAGATCATGCAGGAGTTTGCCTTTGGATTATGGAGACTGTGGAAAAACAGAAATGAGGTGGTTTTTAATGGGGTGTACCAGCAGCCCTTGGAGCTTTTGGAGGCCTGGAGCAGGAACATCTCTGAATTCAGAGACGCTACGCTCAGTGAGACTGCGGGCAAACAACCTCGGTGTCGACCGATGATCGCTTCTTTGGACCGGGGGGTTTGTAGATGGGAGAAGCCGGCGTTCGGGGTCCTCAAGGTCAACACTGACGCCTCGTGGTGCAAGACCACCCTCCGCACGGGGGTGGGCTGGGTCTGCCGCGACTTTGCTGGATTACTTCATGGTGCAGGGGGATCAGGAGTTGAGCTGTGTCACTCCGCGGCTGTTGGGGAAGCTGCTGCAATTAGGACCGCCCTCATGGCTTGCATTGACTATGGGTATGATAATGTTGTTATTGAATCTGATGCCAAAGTGATTATTCAGATGATTAGGCATGAACTGGATCATGATTTCAGTCTTGAATGTATTCTTGGTGATATTGAGGTTCTAGCGTGTAGGTTGAGGTCAGTTTCGTTCTCTTACGTGCCTAGGGAGAGCAATGTTGCTGCTCACTCGGTTGCTAAGTTTGTTTTCAATAAGGGTCGTGAATTTGGGTGGGACTGTATTGGGCCTGAATTTTTGTTTAATATCCTAGCCCAGGATGTAAACCTTTCTATTCGTATCTAATATATTTCTATCTTCGGGGAAAAAAAAATATTTTAGGAGATACTATTATAAGAGATCCTACGGAGTTTCATTTATATACACAATATGATAGAAATCAATTAGTAAGAGATTTAGTGCGTGATGTTGAAAGTGAGCTATATCCCACCATTTGGCATTTCATTGGCTATGGCCTTAGTCTCTCTGGTCACGTGAAATGTGAAAAGGGAGAAAAATACATGGGAGTATATAAACAAGGTTGCATGTAAGTATTACTCCATAAACAGCTAAGAGCCACCACATTAATGAGATATTTAATGATCAAGAATGAGTATAAGAAGAAAGGAAATCATTCCAATTCATGCTGTTCCTCCATTAAAAAAAATATGTGGATCGGACATTAAAATTAGTAATTCAATACCCTCAGTACAAGGAATGAGTTAAACTAAGTTAAATTAGTTGATTTGATTGAAATACTCAAGAATATGGATGAGCCCGTTTTTGTGATAGGAATTGAAATACTCAAGAAGGGGTCAAAAGGAAACGCAACATGTTTTAGGAATTTTGGCGTGCTTTGAGAGCATGCTTGGCTTTTCAATTACAGTCCACCTACAATTATTAAATATATGTCATGTAAACTATCTTTTAGGATTGAAACTTTTACAAAACTTCGAGATATTTCCATTGTCTTCAAGAACATCATAATTGCCATTATTTTGAATGACTATAATTGCCAAAATTTCGAACACGGCATGTGATAAATGCATGCAATAGTCCAAATGGTACGTCTTATTTCCATTGTCTTCAAGAACATCATAATTGCCATTACGCGTATGTCTTATTTCCCTAGAGTGGAGATTATATATATATATATATATATATATATAATAAATAAAAAGAAGCAAGGCTATACTTATCATATATTTGTACCATCTATCTAATAGAGGTAGAGCCCGTCAATACATGTGGTTCTCGTCTCTATTAGAAATATGGTACAAATAATGGTATATGGGTAATGCTAGAAAGACTAAAATTTTAAATCAAATTTTGTAAACCAAATGATGTGGATGTAAATAATTAGATTATTACTTAGGTGTTGGTTAATATGCTTATTTCATATTGGTGACACATAATTTGATTTACAAATTTAATTTAAAATTTTGATTTTCCTAACTTTATTCATGGTATAAATATAAGGTAAGGGTAGTATTTTGGAAAAAACAAAAATTTGATTCAACTGTAGTTCAATCAAGACTTGAAGATATGAAAGAACAAAAAACCTTCCAATATAACGTTCCTATAACGTTCAAAAATCCCAGAGGTGAAGTAAGATTCTTTAGCATGTTTTTCAAATCCTATGTCGTGATATGATTATAGCAGCTACTAAGCTTGATTAGACTACACTCGAAGTCTCGAAAGCTGAATGACATATATACAGCCGCTCCTTTCTTATCACATATCACCTGTGCATCGGTCTTTGGTTTGGAGGCAGATTGTCTGTTCTTCTTTTGGATGCCCTTCTTTTTTTTTTTTATTTGTGTGATTAAATCACATTAATATTTTATATTTTTATTATTTTTCGTCTTATTATTATTATAAAAAAAAATCAATATAAAATATTAACATGACTCAACTGTGACCGCACATAATAGAAAATGATGAAAAAGGCACTCAAACAAGAAGACAGACAATCTGCTTCCCTTGGTTCTCCTCAGAATAGAAGTCTCTCTGTTGTCTTGGTTTCACGAAATGTGTCTTATCTTCTTTATATATAAAGCCAACAACTTCTTTTGATGTCACAAGTTTTATTAAAAAATTTTGAATAAAAATATCTCCAAAATAAAAAATTTCAAAAGCAACTTAAAATAATACACCAAATAATATAGGAGTATTTTTGTTATTTTAACCGTGTTATTTTTAATAATTAATTTTTTTTGTACAATTTTTTTAATTAATACCTTACAATAAGTTATCAATAATGTACTTCAATCAGTTGTTCATTAAATATTATTTGCTCTATTTTTAAACACGTTCAAAATATCTTAAGAGGCGTATAATGCTGATTATTAAAAAGGTATTTCACACGCACATAATAATGTGATTAAATTAGTTGTCAAATTATTATTTTTTTTTTGAACAAACGATATTATCTACATTAAGGAGGAGGGGGATGAGCTTAGCCTCACAATAGGTTAGCAATAATGTGATTCAATTAAATGTTTATTAAATGTTATTTTCTCTATTCTTCTTGATATAAATTCAATAGAATGTAGATGGAAATTGAAAATGTGTAAGTCGCGCGTAACACACTGTAATTCAAAAAATGTCTTCTGTACTCACATGTGCACGTGCATGAAGGCTAATTTTCCTTTATTGGGAGGATGTAAAGAAATGTACATCGACCTACACCGGAAGTTTACCAAGAGAAACGTTTACCCCCTTATAGTTGGTTATATGATGAAACCTCAACTTCTTTAGGTTATATATATGTGTATGTTGAAAGGAATAATTTCTCGAACCATAAGGATTTGATAGTGAAAGACTGGATACTGAAATAAAATTTATACGCAACTTGTAATTGCCATAAACCATAAGAACGACTTTTGTTTGGTTTATAATAACTGCGTGAGAGTGTCTTGATCTTGGATCGACCCCCATTATTGGGTAAAATACTAGGAAAATATCCAGAAATAAGAATCACGATGTCGTAACAATGTAAGTCTGTAACACTGTAAAGGGTAGTTTGGGAAATGAAAATAGACAGAGAGCTAATTAAGCTAGGTACGTAAAGAGGTGGGGGAAACAAAAGAAGAAGGGTGGGGCAAAGAGTAGTGTGAGGGGGAAGGGAAGGAAAGGGACAGGGGAGAGAGGGACGTGGTAACGATTACATATAAGTTCGAAGAAGCTAGGTTCCATGCAGCTTCGTCTCTTTGTTTGTTTCCTCATCAATTGTCATCAATTATATTTTATCGCTATCTGTCAAAATATATGTGCTGTAGAACGTTACTTATACCTACTTGGACAATCGACACATTTCGAAATTCTAAACCATATATCGATCTAATCTAAGTACGTAACCTTTTTTTCTTTCGGTGGCTGTATATTTCTCTGGATCTTTTGCATCACCGAGATCTCCCCGGCCGGCACTCTATTTGTCTCTGTGCTTGATGATGACTGAGAATTAGGAAACGCAGTCCTGACCTCTGCATGCATGGAATAGTTAATTGCAATGTGACTACTACAGTTTTCTCTTGTCTTGTCACTTAGTTATACAGTTTAGTAGTATTCCTATTTACTTATAAATGAGAGATCTTAAGTTCGATTATCGTCAAAGGTAAATTCAAACCATTTATGGCTTAACAAATGCTAAAGTTCTCTCATGTCTTGCCATTTAGTATTACGGTCTAGTGAATTTCTATTCATTTGTAAGGAAATGGTCATAAGTTCGATTCTCTCCAAGAACGAAATTCAAACTGTTTATGGTTAGTCCATTGTGACGTAGAGTCCACCCTCCACCCCTTAATGTAGATAATATTGAATTATTAAAAAATAAAGATTTCCCTACCTTAATTATGACCACAAGTTAAAGCCCTAAGATTAACATAAGTGCTGAGAAGGGGGAGAAAAATAGGGTTGGGTTTTAAAATATAATTTAGTTAGATTATGAGTTTCATTATATTGTCACAACAAAAAAGAAATGATAAGACTAATTATCAATCTTGCCACTTACTATTATGGTCTAGTGATATTTCTTTTCACTTTATAAGTGAGAGGTCTTAGGTTTAATTTTCTCCAAAGGCGAATTTGAACCACATTATTACTAGTCCATTGTGAGGTTAAGACCATTCCCTTCTCTTAGTGTAGATAATATCGATTGTTAAAAATATATATATCAATCTTAGATGTTTGTAATAAATTTTGGAAGGTAGATTGATAGTTTTTAATGAGGTTAAAAAACATTTTTTCGGAAAAAATAATGTATGGATTTAACTTTTGCAGAGTAAATTGGTTTTTTTTACTACAATAATAAATTTTATACTAAGGGGAGAGAGAGTTCAGCTAAGCCACACAATGTGCAACCTAATTTGGTATTGAATTCGTTATCTACAAGATTCGAACCTAAGAACTCTCACTTATAAGTGAAAATGAATACCACCAGATTGTACTACTGAGTGATGAGTAAATTGGTGGTTAGATTCATAACTTAAATGAAATGTTAAGGGCTTATGAGTTAGAATATGCCAACATTTGACCTCTTAAAGCATCTCACGTGCAAGTCACGTGACTTAAATTGAGAAAAATATGGATATAGCAGCTTCAAATCTTATAATAATATAATAAAATTGACAATTTTTAATGAATTTAAGAACTTAATTTCCACAACCGTAATAATTTAAAGAACAAATCAATAATTTACTCTCTACCCTTGATGATTATTTTAAGTAAAAACTCTTGATAAATTTTTTGTTGTAGCACACACTTGGGGTAAGTAAGCTTTCAACACTTTGCATGTTTCTTTTTTTTTTAGTCAAACAATAAATTTTGTTATATTAGATTTTAGATTAACTCCTGACGAAATTCAAACCCAAACAATCATACAAGAGCTCAATACTTTTTACCACCGAAGTAAATGTCTACTTGCCAACACTTTGCCTGTTAGGTACTAGCAAACCGTATCAGGGATATTTGGCGTTTAGTGCAACTCGGATGAGCCCCACTGCCGCCGGGTTAAGGTTGCGAGTGCGGACAAAGGCTATTTTCTGTGTCCTCTAGTAAAATATAAATTGGGCCATAATTACTTTTTGGCTTTTTATTATTGCATTACTTTTTTTATCGTATCTTTTACTGGTGATACCTGTATATATTGGTAGCTTACCTTTTATTCGAGAGAGCATAAGAGAACATATAAATATGTAGTAAATATAACATTATTTTTTTATTTTTCAAATTTGTATATTATACTATTAGTATAAACTTTATTATATTTGTTATTTTAGAAAAAAGAAAAGGAAGTGGCATACTTTAAATGAAGCTGCAGAGAAGAAAAATCTTGTAGTAAGCATTGAAAATTTCACATCAGCAGAATATAATATTTGTTATGCAGATACATGTAACCTAACATGAGCAGATTAGTAACATATGACAACATCTGTCACGTCAAAAGATACCATTTCTTTGTTTTTCTTTAAGAATTGTATCAATTGTATCAATTAATCTCTCAATGTATGCATGAAAAGTGAATAAAATTAATATTTCTCTTTTTATATACCTTATTATGACTGACTTATTATGTGAATTAAGTTACACTCCTTTTTTTGGAGTAGGAATATCGTTATATGTATTTAAAATGAAAAACTATTGAAAAGGGTTTAAATTTTTTGAATTTTAACGATAAGGACAAAATAAATGGTAAAGTGAATAGTATCATGATTGATATTTTAGTATAAAAATATGGTTTTTCGTTAAAATAAACAGTACCGGGAGCATTTCGTTAAAGTTCCCATTTAAAAAGTGGTGAGTACTATAGCACACATCTATTTAAAGTGAGGTCCATTAATTTGTGTGTGTATATATTTAGGTAGATAGTTAATCAATCTCTTAACTATAGAGTGTAGAACGTTTTCCCTATACAGTCAATTATTGTTGTACAGGATATGAGATGGTGGGCATAAGCATGCATGTGAATGTGTTGTAGTATATGATTGACAATTCGACTGTACCACTTTAATGAGTATATTCAATTTCTATAATACCCTCTTTAGTTTTAAAAAAATGACATTGTTTAACTTTCTACACACATTTTATCCGTTGTAGAACAAAGTGAATGCCACCACCTACCACTACAAATACTAACCTTACACCACCACTACCATTACCACCACCATTGTTGCTACCAACATCATCACAACCATAACGCCACCACCTCCATCGCAACCGGCACCACCTTCATTGCCATCACTATCGTTGCCACCACCACATCCACCATTGTTGTCGCTACTGCCGCTATACCTGCCATAACCATAGCCGCCACCATTGCCACCAGAACTTCCACTACTACCGTTGCTACTTGTATCAACATTGTTACCTCTACACCCTAACCACCACACACCATTATTGGCACCTCCACCATACCCCCACCTTTATCGTTGCCATCACCAATGTCGCTGCCACCACCACCACCACCACTTTCCTCACCACCGCTGTCATTGCCAGTTCCACTAACCCCACTACCATGTCCATTTTTGTTGTTATATACAATTATAACACTTTTACACTCAAATTTATCAACTGCTTTTACATTGCTTTTTACATTATCAAACGCTCAAATGCTTTATTTTACAGCTGATTATTCTTAAAACAATAGAAGTTGTGAAATCCGGTTCTCATATTTCACTATTTAAAATTACATATCTTGTATTTCGAATTCATATTCATAGTTTCAATGCTTTCATATTTACGGCGTATATTTTTTCGATAAGTAAAAGGACGAAAATGCCCGTAATGAACTAAACATAATTCTACGTGGTCGTATTTTATTCCTACATATTTTCCAGATTTCTTTACATGTTTGGATGGTACGTGTCGATATGAACGTGTGAGCTCAAACAAAATGAAATTTGGAGTTATAACGAAAAAGTTATAAACGAACGAAGGTATGGGCAAAATAGTCATTTTGCTATGATTCTGGAAGGCTTCAGATTTGTGGGAGCCTTGTCTTGGTGAAAGGAAGCCATGGGAGTGGTTGGAAAAAAAAATGGAAGGGAGAGACCAACCAGACCAATAGGGGAAGAGAAGGAAATGAGGGGAAGAGGAGAAAAGAAGAAGGCTGCCCAATGGGAAGACAAGGAAATGAGGGGAAGAGAGATAGTGAGAAGCATCGAATTCTCTATCCTCGCTCGTTTCTCCTTGGGACCCGACTGCAACCTGATGGGTTTTATGGTTTCGACGTGATTTTCATCGATTTCTCTGGCGAAAATCGGTAAACCACCACCACCAAATACCTCAGCACCATCCCTGCTTCAAATTTCATTCAAACACGACTGGGTTTGACCTTAGTTTCGAGAAGTACCGCACTGATGGGTGCGACGGGCATCAGCGATAATCCACCTTTTTTCTGAAATGCTTACCGTCAATCACCACCACCAATACACTCATTTAAGAGGCCATGAACAAATCCCAAGCAATGGTGGAGGCGTTGGAGTGCATATAGAGGTCGAATCAAAGCACACCCAAAACTATGGTTCCGGCAGTTCGTGGGAAAAACTCAGGCATTTCCCTGCCGAATTGGACTTCGACTCAAGTATGAAACTTGCTCCAATCATTGAGATCTACATTTATGTGGAATTTGATGATTTTTGGAATTAGTTGGATTTTTTGCTAGCTGGGGCGATCGGCAGTCGCATGCAGTGGCGCGTGGGCTGAGACCCTACCTTCCATTCTTAGAGTAATTTGGATATCCTGATTCCATATGTGAGGTCCGATTGTTGAAATCTAGTCGTATGACTATAGTTTTGATATAGATTGCCAATTGGTCATTATATGAATTGATAATCCGACCGTTAGATCGTTAACAAACTTTAATACCCAATAATACATAATATTTGATGACATTAGGAACTAACGGGTCGGGAATCCGACGTACAGATCTTTCTGAATTGGATTTATAAGTTTGTAAAATCAAACGTTGACAGCCACTTGCTATTGGTGAAGATCTAACCGTTGGATCATAATGAAGTTTTAGTATATTGTTTTAGAAGCATAATGTTGACTTTGGGAAGTTACAGATCAAAAATCTGATAAGAGGATCTTCCGATTTTGATTTCTAGGGTTATGGACCCTACTCGTGACCTTAATTGACAGTTGGCTTTTTAGTCAACTAGCCCGAGTTCTTCTAGCATGTTGTTGATCTTAGAGTGTTGTTGAGATTCTATAGAGCTTATTGGGCTTAGCGTGATGATGTGTCTTCCTCGATTGACGTGCACCTTGATTTACGTATTGATGGCATCACATTGTGTTATGCTTGTTTATTTTATATGATTTGACTTGTGTATTGAACTTGTTGTGGAGTTTGGTTGATTTGTATGTTTGGCCTGATGTGATGAAATGTGAGGGTTAGAAGTGGCCCATGAACCCATTGTCATGGGGTTTGTTGCTTCGAGACTTGTTCACATATCATATCATTATTATATTTCTTGTTTCGTTGAGCTTTTGTATTTTGAGTTATTATTTCATGTCTTCTTCGTCTTCGAGCGTTGCTATATTTCTTGGACTTCTACTCAGTTTCGTTGAGTGATCCGGAGCTGGGTTTCCGCTGGGGTTCTGTTGAGAGGTCTGGTTCCCTACTCCGTTTGGATTATGTTGAGTGGTTTGGAATCCCTCGTGCTCCGCGATTCAGTTGAGTGGTCCGGAATTGTATCCTGCCTTGGATTTCATTAAGTGGTCTGATAGCCATTGTACTCCGAGATTCGTTGAGTGGTCCGGAATCGTATCAGCTTGGATTCTGTTGAGATGTTTGGAATCCATTCTACTCCGTGATTCTGTTGAGTGATCCAAAATCGTATCCTGGTTGGAATTCCGTTAAGTGGTCCGGAATTCCTTTTGGTGTTTTGATTCCAGTGAGTGGTCCGGAATCCCCTGTGGTGTATTTGTTCCATTGAGTGGTTCGGAACTTGATGTTGATAGATTTCATTGAGTGGTCCGAAATCGCATCATTTGACTTGTTGGTTCCTTGGATTTGATTTCAACTTCAGAGATGTAGGCTTTAGACGAACTGTGTCGCTCTAGCCCTGTATTTCGGTGTATGGTATGTGTTATTGATTGATATGATTATGGAATGATGTTGGTTGTGATTGTTGTCATTATGATTAGACTTATTGACCAATATGGCTAGAGATTTATGTTGCGCTTAGTCAAATGTTCCTGGATCCGTTTTTGACGTCCGTTTCCCCAAATTTAATTGCTATTATATAATTTTATTAATTGGATCCTTTATGTGCTTATAGGCAATTATTTGTGACGATTCTGTGTTCGCTAGTTTGTGTGGATCTTCAGCGGCTAAGTACTGTGAGTGGAACCCTTCTAAAAATATATGTTTTGATAGTAGAAATGCATACATGAAAAACATGATTTAATGATTACATTTTATGAAATGTTTTATGAGATAATATGCTTATTGAGGCTAGTTTGAATTATTACTATTTTTCCTATAACCCGTGTTCTTATAGAATATTTGATGGATGCCAATATGATATTTAGAACATGTTTCGAACACCTCTTTATAGTATAGATGATTGATGACTTTATACTATGAAATTGCTTTTCAATATATATATATATATATATATATGTATATATATATATATGTATATATATATGTGTGTGTATACATATATATATATATATATATGTATAATGATTTTGTACTTACCTAGTGATCATTTCCGCTACGGGACGTAGTGATAGATTCCGGTCTGTTCCGAGCGACGATTTGGTGTTAGCATAGGGTCTGGAGCGTGTTTCCTCTAGCTATTAGCACATGGACGGGGAGCCAACATGGGGCCTGGAGGTTATCGAACAATTCACTAGTGATTATTCTATATACAAGTTATGATTTGAGATATTGCACAACATGCTAGGTTTAGGATAACCTATGTTTATCATGATATATGAGTTTTCATAAAACCTACGTTGATAACTGTTTTACTATATATATATATATAAACTTAATCCACTCATGTTTGTTTTGCGCCCCCTTCAGGACTTAAAATTGAGGCATACAATCTCTGCGTCAAGTTACTTCTGTATTGGCATCTTCGAGTCCTCTTGGTGTGGGACCCATTCTTTTATTCATTCAATTTTATATTATTTCTTTTAGTGTTCTAGTTAGTTGTATGTTCTGAACACGTTCCTTAAATGCACATTCTTTATTTTTTATATTTATAAGTCTTATCTATCCCTTGTTTTCAGCATTTGCACTCAATAAATGGCTTTCGTCACCCTCAGATGTCGGCCAGCACGTGCCTATCCTGGTATTCGAGGAATATCTGGATCGGGACATGTCAATGAAAATGTGACGGCAGAGGTGGTGGGACTGCTGATACTAGCAGTCATTGACTCATCACTAGGCGAGGTTGGAGTGATAATGGTTGTGACGAGTTGGTAGTGGCGGTGATGGTGGTTGGCCAGAAACAGGGGTGGTGGTGGTGGAAGTGGTTTGATGAGTGGTGTCATTGGTGGTGGCCCATCAGATTCCTCTTCATGCCACCAAAGACTTGGCCCAATCCAAAACCAGAGATCCAGCCCAATATACAAAACCAAAATTAGGCCACAATTGTGAATAGCTGAAAACACCAAGGGTACTTTGGTACGTAAATCGCTGAAAAACAGTGTCAACGGACCTTTCTTCTCCGTTTCCACTGTCATCGCTCTTTCAAAATTCCCCGCCACAGTTCCCTTTTCCGGTCGCAAAGCTTCGCCGAATCCGCTTCTGCATTAGCACTCGCCGTCGTATTGACAACACCATAAGACAGGTAACCACCACTCGGTATATCGACTGTTTGTTTCCCGAGAAAAAAAACAGGAAAAAAAAAAAGAACACGGTATTTGACTACCGAATTCGTTGAATCGCTTACTGTAGCACTTTAATTTTTGGTTCCAACTTTTTATTCACAAAATTCATCAGCAACTAGAGAATGGAACTTTCACTCTGATTTTTTTTTTCTTTTCCGTATTTACTCTGTTCGATTTTGTGTTCTTGTGCTGCTAAAACCCTGCGTTTTAGGGGTTTTGGATTTCAGTTTTCTGTATTCGACTTGAGATTTTTGATTTTTTTTGGATATCGAAAGTTGCATGCTGGGAGGTTTCATTTACTTCAACCTTTGTAGCAAATGCGTTCCTTGAACTGTAAATTCTGATCCTTTTTTTGCTTTCAATTGTTTGGATTTTGAATTGTTATGTGGTGGAAATGCCGGCGTTAGTAAAATCAAATTCTAATCGAAATCGGGAGATTTTATGATCATAACAGTCTGTGGTTTCGACAAGTTGTAGGCTTAAAAAGTATCAACTGTCAGTATGGGTGACTTGTCAAGGTACGTTTCTCAGCAATATGTATTCAGATTTTCGGGGCAAATGGTATTTTCCGATTTTTACCTTCAATGAAACAATTTTCAGGGAGGATTTTAGTAATACGCTTCGAATACTTGTTGCTACGGATTGCCATCTGGGTTATATGGAGAAGGATGAAGTACGGCGCCATGATTCATTCCAGGCATTTGATGAGATATGCTCAATAGCACAACAAAAAAATGTAATAGCCAATTTTCATTCTAGCTGTATTTGTAGTCTCACTCCATGCAACACAACTTTGCGATTGTGGTTTGATTCCCGTTCTCTAATTCCTTTCAATTTTTGTGTCCACATTTGGAGAAATACAGTATTGCAAAGCTCTTTTCGATTGAAACTGTTTCCTTATACTTCCTGTGAACCAACACATTTTGGCATTTATCCTCTATCAGGTGGATTTTTTGCTTCTGGGTGGTGATCTGTTCCATGAGAATAAGCCTTCAAGGTCAACACTAGTTAAGGCCATTGAGATTCTCCGCCGTCATTGCCTCAATGATCAGCCAGTGCAGTTCCAAGTTGTTAGCGACCAGACTGTGAATTTTCCAAATACGTATGTAATTAATGAACTGCACGTTTGTTGTTTGCTTGGAATTTTTGCTGCAATGATATGTCTAAGTTGACCTTTGGTTCATATGCCATGAGTTGAGCAAATGGAGAAATACGGAATTTTTCCTGCAATGATATGTCACTCCGATGTGTTTTTGCATCCAAGTTTGTATCAGGAACCTTGACTTTCTGTAAAAATTTAGAGATATATTATGATAAGGATGATAGGCACCCTTCTGTTAATAACAAAATTCTTGTTCTAACAGATTTGGTCATGTAAATTATGAAGATCCTCACTTCAATGTTGGATTGCCAGTGTTTAGTATCCATGGAAATCATGACGACCCTGCTGGAGTGGTATGGATTCTATTGGTGAAGTTGTTTGCGTATTTGCCTTTTCATTTCTGTTTAAAACATTATCAATGTTTCTCATCAGAAATCATTTTTAGCACCATGTTTTAAGATTTTTTTTACACAAATTCGTTATCGTATATAGCTCACTGGTCAAGTTTGTTGGTTGTAATTAAAGGGTTCAAGTTTCCGGGGGATTGAGCTTACAATCCTCATCAGCTTTCTATCGATTCCTACAAGAAAGAAACTTATAACTTACTAGGCTTGTCAGCAAATTCAGACATACCATTTGCTGTAGTTATGAGTTTTCTAAGTATATAGATTTACAGTTAGTAAAGGATTTGATCATTTGAATGGTCTTGTTAAAATATCAAGAAAAATATGTTTATCTTTTGGAGTAAGCTGCATCTAATGTGACCAGTCCTTGAACCCATGAAAAGATGATCCCCAAAAATGGGCCATAAGCTTACCAGTTCTGTTATTCTATATCCAATTACTGTAAGAGAGGAAAAGAGAGAGGGGGTATTTAAAAATGGAGGAGGAGGGGGGGGGGTACAATAGGCTAATGGTTATCTTTGGGAAGAATAGGGATATTTTTGAAATAGCAATTATGTTATTGCCATAAGGAGGAGCAAGGACCCCCTCTTTCGTACGCTCATGCATGGTATATATCGATATTTTGAAATGTGTTTGCTACAGCTGTTTTAAGTACCATGTATTTGTACTTCTTAACATTGTGGTTATTGACAGGATAATCTTTCTGCTGTCGATATTCTCTCAGCGTGCAACCTTGTAAACTATTTTGGGAAAATGGGTCTTGGGGGTTCTGGGGTTGGTCAGATCACTGTGTATCCTATTCTCATGAGGAAGGTTAGTATATGGATTTAATTAATAGTAGGATTGGGAGGATCTAATAACTTCTTTTGGTGAATAGAGTATTTTTGTCTTTGTGTTGCATGGCTCATAACTCCTTCTGAATTGCAGGGTGCAACATCAGTGGCTCTTTATGGTCTCGGAAATATTAGAGATGAACGGCTCAATAGAATGTTTCAGGTATTTGATGTTGAGAATTTGCTTTATGCTGTTTACTTGCAGGCCTCTAAACACATATGTGTTGGGCATATTATTCATATGTCAGACACCACATGCTGTACAATGGATGAGACCTGAATCTCAAGAAGGGTTGGAAGTGTCAGACTGGTTCAACATTCTAGTGCTTCATCAGAACAGGTTTGGTGTGTGGGTGGGTGGGTGAGATTGGATTAATCATCATTAAGGAGGAATCCCGATTTATATCATAGTTTCATTTGATTTAAGTTGTCAATTTTCCTAGTTACAAAGTTATATAATTTTGTGTGCAGAGTGAAGACAAACCCAAAAAATGCCATCAATGAGCACTTTTTACCACGCTTCCTAGACTTCGTAGTGTGGGGGCATGAACACGAATGCCTCGTGGACCCTCAGGTGCCAATGAATATTGCTTTATCAATATATGCAACGTGGACATGTGCATACAAGCTTGAGTGTGTATGTGCACGTCTGTCTCTAGGTGCGTAGTTTTGGTCTTGTTGGGAGGGTGCCTTACACGACTTTACATGATTTTGTTTCTGACAGGAAGTTCCGGGGATGGGATTTCACATTACACAACCTGGTTCTTCAGTTGCAACATCACTGATTGACGGAGAATCAAAGCCAAAGCATGTGCTCCTTTTAGAAATTAAGGTTGCAAAACAATGTTAGATCTATTTTTTTTTTCTCCTGAAAGCAGCATTTTTTGATCCTTTCTCCTCCCAAACTGAGTTGGATGCTGATATACTTTTATGCAGGGGAATCAATACCGTCCAACCAAGATTCCTTTGACGTCAGTGAGGCCTTTTGAGTACACAGAGGTGATTTAATGTTTACCTTTTCGTCTACATTAAAACTTTTGATTAATAATATATTTTTTCTGCTACAGATTGTATTAAAAGATGAACCTGAAATTGATCCCAATGATCCTAATTCAATTCTTGAACACTTGGACAAAGTGGTAAGTGTAATTGCAAGTAATATTGGACTGTTGTACTTTCCCATGCCTTTCTTTTTTCCCTGTATTATGCCCTCTGATGCATGTGCTGTATATTAATAGTATAGATTTGAATTTCTATAGGTCAACGCTCAGATAGAGAAATCTAGGAAAAATGTTACTGGATCACAGCTCCAACTTCCATTAGTTCGAATAAAGGTAATATTTCCAATTTAACTTAAGATGTTGGTATTATGATGGTGATCCTCATATATGCATCCTCGCATCTCTAGGCCTTTTTCCTGTCCCATGCCTTGCCTTCAGATCTACAAGTATTTGTGTACATATGAATGTTCTCTTTTTGACCCAATGTAACCTTAACCTCCCCTTCCGTGTGACCGTATAACTTCACTCGAACAATTGGCAGGTGGACTATTCTGGATTTATGACAATAAATCCTCAAAGATTTGGACAGAAGTATGTGGGGAAGGTACATTCACTAATCCTAGATCAGTATTCTACTGCTAATTTTTCTCGTATCACATTTTGGAAATAAATCATTGCTATTGTTATGACTTTAAGGTTGCAAACCCACAAGACATTCTTATATTTTCAAAAGCTTCTACAAAGGGCCGGAGCGAAGGTACTAATTATCACACTAGTGGATTTTGCATTGGTTGAGTGTTTGTTTTTATACCATCTTATAAGTTCCAACACTTCACTTAATTTTTGAATAACAAAAAGCTTGGTGCAGTATGACCTCACCTATGAGATTTTCTTTATATTAACCTCGTAGGTTCATTAGATTAACAGATTGCCCACAAGTTAAATCTTAGTGCTGGCATCAGTCTAAAGACTTTCACATACATTAGCTACAGTTGTGTTATATCTCAAACAAAGGTGATGGTAATAAAACTTGATGTGACTTTAAATAAATTCTCTCCATGTTAGGGAAGTTCAGTTCTGACATCACTCCGACAATCAACTCTGTTACTTGGGGATTTCGTTACACTCAGAGCTATTTCTGAAGTCCATTAAATGTTAGAATTCATATATTCACAGATTTTCAGTTACTTATTTCTTATCTTTTATTGTAGCTAAAATTGATGATTCTGAACGGCTTCGCCCAGAAGAACTAAATCAGCAAAACATAGAGGCTTTGGTTGCCGAAAATAATCTGGTATCAGCCGTTATATTCCTTCTTTCCTTTACTCAGTATATCATGCATATAGTACTTTTCATCCAGTGGAACTCTGGATTTGTTTTTATACAGAATATAGTTTTGTTAGTTTCTTGCGGATAAACAGTTCCACAAGTTGCTCAGAAACACACACCCCAACTGACTTCTGGCAAACATTATCAGTGGAAAACTTAACGTGATTGAAACTTGGTTCTTTTTGTCCTTTGCCATCATAGTAAGGGTTTATGATTCCATTCCAGGATATGATTTATTTTTCGGATTACTGCTAAAATGGAAGTCATGTGGAAAATATTGAAGATGACATTACAATTACTTACAGGTTTACAGCATGTAAATTATATTTTAAGGTTAAACCCTCATGGGGATATCTGATCATGCAGAAAATGGAGATCCTTCCTGTCAATGATTTGGACGTTGCATTACACAATTTTGTCAGTAAGGATGACAAAATGGCTTTCTATTCTTGCGTGAAATACAATCTTGAAGAAACTCGAGTGAGTACTTGCTCTGTTTAAATTAAAGTTTCAACTAGCTATTGTATTTTCTTTTGAAGTATGCTACTGACAATTTTCTTTTCTACTTCTACAGAAGAAAATTGCTAAGGATCCAGATACAGTGACATTTGAAGAGGAAGATTTAATCGTTAAAGTCGGGGAGTGCTTGCAGGCAAGAATGATTAAATTTCAAATATTTTTCTTTCATCAGTGATTGTGTTACCCTATTCTAGTCAGTTTCATGGACAATTATTTTGCCCTGATGGGGCCTTCAGGGCTGTCGTTGGGGTTTGAAATGAGGCATTTAGGCCCAAAATGCGTAGCAGTCGACTTTGAGTCTTGAGACCTCTTGTACTAATTTCATAGAGTTTGGTTTTAGTTCTTAGATGTGGGAAAAACATATATACGTTAATCAAAGTTTGCAATTCATTGATCATAATTGTAGGCAGTTTTGACATAAAAGAAAAAACATAGAAGTCTTTTTCCCTCATGCATCTCACCCTGTTGTGGCCTTAAGCATCACAATGGCAATTAATGAGGGCTTGCTTCCATACATTGACCAAACATTTATATTATATGTGCAGGAACGTGTCAAGGAAAGACCTACGAACTCTAAGAGTAACTCTCCATTCTCTTCCACTGCCCCTCCTTGGGAGGTAATTCTGATTTTAATCTGCTTTTTTTCAAGAATTTGCATCAGTTTTCTGTGCTGCATCCATTTCAGAATCTTTTGGCTGATACATGTGCCTACTATTTTCATTTTTAAGCTATTGTTCTTCGTGTAGGATTTCAGAAGTACAAGTGCTGCTGGAACTGCAAGTGCAGTTTCCTTCAGTGACGATGAAGATGCAACGCAGATGACTGGCTCAACATCCACTGCCAGAGGCCGCAAGGGCAGAACGTCTACCTCAGAAGTTGGTAAGGGTAAAACTACTGCAAGAGGAAGGGGCAGGGGCAGGGGCAGGGGCAGGGGTACCAGTACCTTAAAGCAGACGACTCTCGATGCATCTCTTGGATTTCGGTCTTCTCAGAGGTTTTTCTTTGACTTAAGTTTGAGAAGATATTCAATCAATTAAGCGGCCCACTTCATTTAAAACTTAATTAATAACCAGCAATTTAATTAGTTGCTATAGAGGTGTAAGAGAGAAATATGTAGGAACAAATATAGCTGCAAAACTTTATCCTCCCACCGCATGATATGTGCCATGATTCTCTCTGGTATTCAACATTAAAGTCTACCACAAAATGCAAATAGTACCCTTAACCTTTATAGGACTTTATCTTTTCCCTTACAAGTTCATTTTTCTGTTTTCTGTATTTACTAATGTTTACAGTTAAAAATATCTACATGGTATCCTTTTTCTGCGCCCTACAGATAGCGTTGCTAACTGGGGATTCCTTCCTTGTTTGTCCTTATTGCTGTTCTATGTGACAGCTCAATTTCATTCTGTATATGTCATAGTCGTTGACTCTGATGTGAACTAATAAACACAATTAAAGAAGCAATTAGGATGCAAAAGAACTAATGTAAAATCCCAAGAACACAACTAACGCAGTCTTCTTACTAAGAAACCAACTCTGGTTAGACAAGAAAACAAGTTCTGACATTGCAAAATCATGACTTACGAGGATGTATTCTAAGTAGCTAATTGCAAGCAGTTAGAAGTCTGCTGCACGTTTGGTTCATATTGCATTAACAAGCTGAGACATTCATGTTCCCAGTTTTGTATCTTAGCTAATATAATTACTGCAGATCTGCATCAGTTGCTGCAACTGCTGCTGTACGAAGTATTGCTGATGATGGGGATGATGTGGATTCTCCTTCCAGTGAAGAAGAGGCGGGGAAACTTGGAATTGATGAGGTTGATAATAGTTCGGTATGGATTACCTTCTTTTTCAACTGAGTTTTGGCATTAAATCAGTAATAGCTAATGAAAATCCGGGCTGTTCTTAAGTTACTGTCAATTGACTGGCGAAGCTCTTTCATATGATTTTTTTCCACCCACACAATCTCCTTTTGCCTTGTGCCAACCATTAAATATTTTGCACGTTTACACGTTCCATAAACCGAATCAATGTTGTTTATGCTATTCATTTGATAAGATAATATGGTTTCAATTATTGAAGGAAAATGATGAAATTGTTCCAAGTAGAGGACGGAAGAGGGCTGCTCCAAGGGGGAGAGGTAGAGGCTCTACGCAACCATCTAAGCGTGGAAGGAAATCAGATAGATCTGCAGTTAACCGAATGTTTATGAACAAAGATGATGACGACGACGATGATGAAGATGTGACAAAGAGATTAAATAAGCCTCTGCCTCGGGTTGCTATTCTTTCTTCTATTTCATTTTACCTGTATTCTTTAAAAATCAGTCAAGAAATATATAGGACTGCCTGCTTTTGTTCTTGAGAGATTTCTAATAGTACTGAGCTTTTTTTCTCCTTTTTTGTAGGTCACGAGAAATTACGGTGCTCTTAGAAGGTAACAATCAGTAAAGTTCGCCCATGCTTTGACAAGGCAGTCCAACTTCATGTCACGGTTCCAACCTTATGTACCTTCCGAAAGGTCGCAAAATGTAATTTGATCTTTCCAAGAGTGGATGCCCGCTTCAGCTGATTTTGTTCCAAATCGAGTTAATGTTCTTTTTCGGGTACTGTACGTATCTGTCTTGAGCGATACATGATGTGAGAGATTGTGAACATGGTGACGGCCATGGTTTCCAGCCACCAGACAAAGCAACCGTGGTATCAACTGGAATTTGTGGTCGCAACATCCATCTGATTTGTTTTAGCTTGGAAACAACCCCGTTGTCTGAGATGGCTTGTAAGTCAAGAAAACATCAACTTGTATTACACCATCAAAGTAAACGATTTGCGCGTCTAACATTTCATTACGGAAACCTCTAATATTTTCAAAAATGATGTGAATTACAGATCCTACTCCCTCTCTCTTTCAATTTGTCAAATGAAAGATTTCCAAAAGAGCTTTCTCCAGCAGATATGTACGTGATACTAAGAAACGACTATTAGAATAGCGCCACTCGAAAGATGTCACCTCAACTCATGGCAATCAGAAGAAAACCTTCCATGGAAATACAGGACGACTCTCTGGGCCAGCAAGAATCTTGGATCATTCGAGGGCCAAACTCTGTTTCACTCTACTTTTTCTCCAGTGTTAGAAGTGATGTTAGGTTTACACTATATACATACAAATCAGCTAGATTGCACTGGTCTCTCATCTGAAATGGGGTCTCTTCGGAACATCCTTCAGGCTTAACAAATGGCTTGGACCGCCGACTTTCCCCTGCTCAAAAGAAGCTCAACATTATCAGATTATTAACTGAAAGTGTCTGCAGTTCATCACCAATCTCTATACTAAATCGGACATCGATTGGGATTAACACAAAATTTAATTAGAGATTGCATATGTTCAGATAACAAGTACCCTAGCAATATCAACTAAGATCACTGCTCCAGACATGAAGCTTCCCGTCTATATTGCAGCACATACAAAAGCCTAATGAGGTTAGTCATTTCTTTTTGTCGACGATGAGGATTGTCCATATTTCAAAAGAAATCGAAGAATGGTACAGAAAGAGGAGGAAACTATGGATTTTTACTTGGCATGGTACTTCTTGGGAAGAGAATCACCCTGAAAGCCTATGTGGGATTCTCTGAGGTATTGGCAAGAGAGGTGTTTAGTATCAAACACCTAAAAACTGTATACACCAACGGTTCAACCTCTCCTAAATTTCTACTCTTTTACAAGATCATCCATCGGACTAATGACAGCATCTAAAGGAGCAAACACCTAAAAATTTTAAGTACGACAAGGTTAGCCCTGGTTCTGCTGTGGAAACAATGATAAATATCCAAAAAGCCTCCACTCCCAAACCACACTTAAAGGGAAAACAGTTGTTTTTACTCTGAAGGGTACATGAGGAGTGAAAGATGAACATTTTTCTAATCCTGTTAGACAAATACAAACGATTACAAAGGACTAATTATCGACTATTAACTTATGTACCTTTCCAGCCAGTCCTGTTCGGTCGGTCCTTCGCAAAATGCTCTGTTTTGTCCCCTTCGGACTCCAAACCATGGTTACAGGAGCAATGCCTTTGTTATTGCATTTCTGACTCCCAGCGATTCTCCCTTTCAAATTCTCTTTTCCTGGGGCCACCAATCTGTTAGATCCACCAACAACTGGTTTCTTCTTAGATTTCACAGTAGTTACTGGTTTAGTTTCTTTAACTAGAACAGAATCCAAAGGTTTCCTTCTCAGAATCTGATACTGAACCTGCACAAACAGTATGATTCATGTTAATATCAATCTTGTGGCCCGTCGAGATCAAACTCAGTAGGAATAAATTGCAAGAAAACCATGAACAAATATGGGGCCCCAAAAATGCTTTTAAGGATGTGTTACGAAAAGAGGGAGAGAATAAGATATGCATACATCACAATTAAATAGAGTACAGTCGTAACTGACAAGTCCCTTACTAGTAGGCGATTATTTCAGATATGCATACACCACAATCAAGAAAATTCTTATTATCTGTGTCTCGGATTTATGACATCTCACCTTTGGTTTTTCAGCTTCTGTGTGGATTGACTTTGAAACATTAGGTCCAATTCTGTAGTTTGCAGTCCCTCTCTCATTCTTATGCGTAGACAACTTGGATACTTTAGAAGGTTTTATTCTGTTCTTGGTTGCATAACTCATTCTTGTCACATTCCTGCTATCTGGGGATCTTTCTTTGTACTGTATTGATGTAGATGTCGAGGTCCTGCCATTCGAACCAGGATTAGAAGATGATCCCACACTAGACTTGCTGAATGAAGATTTACGGCCTCTTGATTTCCTTCTATCACAATTAATCTCCACTCTGGCTGCTGGCCTAGTAATACCGCTTTTCCTGAAACCAGCCTTTATTACTGAAAGTATCCCATTTGTTTGGCTCAATGCTGGATTTGATTTCTCCATAAACTTCTGTTGTTGCTGCTGACCACTCTCAGATGTAATGGTGCTTGCTGTACTGCTTTCATTTGCCTTGTTTGTCACAGAACTAAAACTACATGTTGGATCCCCACCAGAGGACGTTGGCTTAGAGCAATTGGGTATGTGATTTCCAGTTAGACTGCTTTTACAAACTGAACCTGATTTGGAACTGGTTGTTCCCTTCAACTGTATGAAGCTTGATTTGGGGTTCATCTCATCACTGGACCCTGAGTTCCCACAGGAAGATGTCCCGCTCAGAACTTTGTCTAGGTGCCGCTTATCTGTAAAATCTTGGTTTTCCCGTCTCCATTTCTTGCTTACAAAGTCTTTGCCTCTTGACTTAGAGACAGAAGACAGAAGTTGTGGCGAAGATGGTCCAACTAAGTCAAAGTTTAAGCCCATACTATCCTCACCCGAATTCAAAAATGCAGCCTTCAACTGGCGTGAAGAGCATTGGTGGAACCTAATAATTCCAGTATATTACTAAAACTCAGCATTCTTATTTGACAGCATGAATTACAAAGACAAAATGGAGAATGCCGCATAATCAAAGGGCCAAAGGATGCTTACAGATGGCTTCTGTAAAACCAGTCATCATCACTGCAATGTGTACAATCCAAAAAAGAAGAATTAGAAATTGACATCACATATACTTTCTAAATTATAAACCATTTCTGAAAATTAAGGAAAAAAAGGTGTGGGAACGTGATGATATTTGTCTCGAGTATACTAGAACCCACATATGTTGGTTTGTTGAGTTGGCTTCTAGAGTGAGATCCACCCACAGAGGCGCTTCGATTTCTTCCTGTATCAATCCGCAAAGAGAGATGTAAACAAGTAAATTAAAGGTCCAGAGAAGTTGCATGAAATAAAAGAGATTGCAAGTTAATCCTAATCACAAGAACAAAATGCACCTTCAGATTTGATTAGAATATGTTTGGTTGCCAAGAATATGTAGGCTAAGAAAAAGAAATACAAGGGTAAGTAAACACGAACACGAATAACGATCGCAACATCGAAATACGCAAAAATTGCCACACTCTTGTCAACCAAACAAAAGATTCCTACACCCAATAAACCCAATTTCAATTAGAACGCAATATATTTTTTTTTTACCATTATATTTAATCTCATTTAATCATAGCCGTTAGATGATAAGTAAAAAACAAAAAAAAAGTTTAAAATATGATAGTTTGGTGGGTCCAAAATAATTTAATACAAACTTAAATCTTGGAGGGAATCTAGCTTGAGATATATTTTCTTCTCATGACTTATTTTAGCCCAATAGTTCGAGATGGTTTGGGGGGTTCTAAAGCTTATATTTTAAGCTTTATCCCATGGTTGGACATAGCTCCAACCCTTGGAGACAAAGCTTAAAAATTTAAACCATAACCCATAAATTGTTTTTCTCCTCCAAACTTTATGGTTTAAAATTTTAGCATGAGATTATTAAATAATGGTTTAGCCAATTTTTTTTTCGGTAACTTTCTTGAAAATAAAATTTATGTATTTATTTTTATGAATATTCTAATCTAAAAATATTCAATTTTTGATACGTAATTAAAAATCATACTATTTATAAAGTTTCAAGTTAAATTTGATTTAAATAATTTTATTAAATTATTTAGATGTTAGATTTAATTTTGGGCCGTCAAGTCTTTTTTTTTTTTACCATTAGATCTGATCTCATTTGATCATGTAAAAATATCAAAGCTAGTGATCTAAATGAAGAGGAAACAATGGTTAAGATTGTGCCACATGTCAATGGATAAGGAGGGTTGATAAATAAGGGTTGTTAGGATTGTAGGTTGTTAGAAAGACTTTTTAGCCAAAATGGTCTCTGAGATTTGCATAACTCTTCACTTTGGTCTCTGAGATTTGAAATCAATAGAATTGGTCATTGAGTTTGTCCACTATCAATCATTTTGGTCATTCCATGAAAAATCTCTATTAAATAAGAAGAGAATGACCAAAATACCCTTAATTTTTGTTCAATCATTTTGGCCCATTGTTTATTAAATTGAGGGCATATTTGTCATTTTGCATGGAATGACCAAAACAATTGATGGTAGACAATCTCAAGGAGTGTTATGCAAATCTTAAGGACCATTTTGGCCAAAAAGCCTGTTAGAATTGTAGTTTGTTGAAGTAAGGAGGTTACACATTGTATTAGCATAACTAGCAAGCTTTGTAATGGTTTAGTATATAAGCCCTTTGTAAAAACAATTACTTGGTATTGAAGAAAGATCAATTCACAAAGCGCTCATCTTTCTCTCTCTCTCTCTCTATCTCTCTCTAAACTTCTTATGCATTTTTGTTGCATTTCTTTTGCATTTTTCTTAGTTCTCACATGGTATCCTCGCCAAGAAACGATTTGGCGCTTCCGCATTCTCCTTGAAATCTCTATTATCTTCTCTTCTCAATCCTCTATTTTGTACAACTTCTAAGATAAAATTGAGCAAATCCTATATCAAATTCACAAGAAAATTGGAGTTCTTTGTCACGAAGATCAACTGTTCGATTAAAAGCATCATTGAAGAAATTTCTCCCTTTCTGCACAAATGGTTACAACAGTGCAACTACAAATTGTTCAGTCACCAATCACCAACCTTATTCCAACTGTATCAACATCCTTTACAATGAAATTGGATGACACCAATTACTTAACATGGAGCTTTTAGATTAAATTGCTTCTTGAAGGCTATGGAATTCTGGAATTCGTGAATGGCACCACGAAATGTCCAACAAGATTTGTCAATAATTCAACTGTCGAATGAGTGGAGAAAGATGCCAACCAAGTTTGGAAAATGCACAATCATGCAACTTATTATTGCAACTTTGTCATGAACAACAGTATCTTGTATCATTGCTAGTACAAGTTCTAATGAAATATGGGTGAATCTCAAGGAAAGGTTTTCATGTGACTAAAACAAGTATCTTTAAATTAAAGATTGAGCTTCAGAACATCAAGAAAGGGTCTGACTCAATTTCTGAGTACCTGCAGAAGATTAAAGATGCAAGAGACCATCTTGCAGCAGTTGGAGTTATCTTCGAAGATGATGATATCATCATTCTTGCTACATTTAGATGTGTTATCAGAGGAAGGGAAAATGATATCTCCATCAAAGATTTTCGATCTTAGTTGCTTGTTGAAGAAGCAACTATTAATCAGTCACTGGAATCCAATATGTCTTTTGGAACTGCAATGATAGCATGCAATTAGGCTTCAAAAGAGAAAGCATTAGTTCTTGATTCTAGTTCTATCGATTCAAGTAACTGCGGTTCATCTTTTGGGGGTGGATCAAGTCAAGCTAATAACTCAAACAGTCAAACTAATTTGGACGTAGGAGCAGGGACGAAGCCAGAGATTTGTGTGAATGGGGGCATCCTCAAACAACAAAGTCATAATTAAAAAGCTTAAGAATTTACTAAACACAATACTTATATATTAATCCATAAAGTTTTTCATACAACAGTCATTTACAATATCCCTCGACGCGTTTTCATGTTCTGAAAGCGTTGCATGACAACATCATTACCAATACCATCAAATATATCTCTCTCTATAAAAATAACCATGTTATCATTCATCCATTGATCTCCCATCCGATTTCTCAATCGATTCTTCAGAATTTCATGGCCGAAAATGCTCTTTCAACGGTTGCAGTAGCAACTGGAAGAGTTAGTGCTAATGTCACAAGCAAGTAAACCAGCGAATACACCTTGTGTTTCTTGCATTGAACCATTTTTTTTGCAAGATCTCCAATCTCTTTTAAACCTGAAAACTCAATGCTAGACCGCATATCCACAATGTAAGTCTCAAGTTGAATCTTAAGTATCACCAGCTCATTCATAGAGAAGTCTTTGATAAAATTGGGCAAGACGCAATAGCTTTTGGCTATCAAAAGCAGAGAAGGAGTCGGCTGGACATAAACATGCCAAACAAAGAAGTAACTCAGTGTTGGTCTCATTGAAACGATTATTTAGTTCTTGAAGCTGCCAATCCAAAACAACATAAAATATCCCAACACAATAGTGATGCATATTTGTGACTGCTTTTGCTTTTCGTTGCCCTCGCCTTCGAGAAAGAAACATATCATCCATATTAGGCACATCAATATCATGTTTAAGACAAAATTCTGAGACTTCATTGAGTAAAGAATCCCAACCATTTTTCCTCATTATCTCCAACCTTTGCTTACAAACTCCAACCAACTTCATAGCATTTACAATATCTTGATCCTTCCTTTGCAATGCTTGTGACAATTCTTTGATGTGCAAAGCAATGAATATAATAGGCACAACCAAGGCAACAATTCAATTAACTAATACCAATAAGCATACAAATTATTCAACAAATAAACATTTAATTCAACTAATCATTTGAATAAATGTATACCCATATTTATAGAATTCGTAATTTCATAATTTCATTCATCAATAATCATAGAATTCATCATATCAATAATCAATAAGTCAATAACCATCCATATTAGTGCATACCATATCCATATGATTCTATATTTCTATACCAATTAAACAAAAATTCGTCTTAAATAATTAATTAGGGTTAGGAATTATAAATTTAGGAATTAAAAAATTTACCTAAATATATATATATATGTTGTCGGCTAGAGACTAGAGAATGGCTGGCTGCTGGCATGGCTGGGAAGAGCAACTTTGCTCCAGAGAGCACCTGGACAGGAGAGCAACTTTCAAGGTATTGGTTTGGACTTTGGAGAAGACAAACAGAGCAGCACCAAGCTGCTCTCTGACAAAGGGCAACGAAAACAAAGGGAGTAAAAAAAAAAGAAATGGGAGTCTGGTCCCCCACTAATACTATAACATAACTTTTTTAGGAGACAAAAAAAAAAGAAATGGGAGTCTGGTCCCCCACTAATACTATAACATAACTTTTTTTTTTTTTAAACATATACGAAACGACGCCGTTTCGTTTACATTTAAAAAAAAAAATCAGATCAGGCTTCTGCAGAGGTTCGTTTTGCCTTTGGCCTGGTTTAGAAAGACCCAGATCGGAGGAACCAGAAAATTGCAGTGGGGGCTTTGCTGCTGCTCAAAATCGCAGTGGGGGCTTTGCTGCTGCAGAAACAGATGAGCATGCCAGCATCAGAAAAATCTCAGTGGGGGCATCCGCCCCCTCTAGGCCCATGGTAGCTCCGCCCTTGCGTAGGAGACACTTACTTTTCCATAACTTGTGCGTTAGTAAAACGCGGAATATGCCGGGATGACAATGATGCAAACATGCCAATTGCCATCAGTTTAATGAAGTCCTTCCTACTCCCTTACTTTTTTTACTATAATTCAAAAAATCCACCAGCCGATAAGTAACAATAGACACATGAGGAAGGCTCTAGGGTTTCTCTGCGCTGCACCGTTGGCGCATGCGAGAATCGAAATCTACTGATTCGAGCAAGGTTTGTGAGAAGATTTGGGTTGATTCGGTTGGGGTTATTGCTTGTTTGCTTATTGAGAGGGTTAGGTTGAATCTTGAAAGGATAATTAGGGTTTGGTTAACTAGGGTTGAGATGATTAAGGTGTTAGATCGTTTGGGAAACTATGTTAATTGGAGTTCTTATGAGTGGCTAGTGCTTCTTGGGAAAGTTCTTAAGTTTCTGCATCCTCTTCACGTAGGTTGTGTAAGATGGTTTCGTATTTTTCACACGTTTTGTGGTTTTCCGAGGAGTTGTTTCTTGGCTAGTATGTTGCTTGCTTGTTTCTTGGCTAGTATGTTGCTTGCTTGTATGGTTCTTTGTTGCTAGGACGATTTGGCTACCCTAGGTTTAGGGCTCAGGTTTGTGACGGTTAGGGTTTTGGCGTGCCTCGTTAATTATTACATGACGCCGTTGCTGATCTGGTTCTGGTGTGGTAATTGCTTTTGTTACTCTGTTTGGAGACGGTTGAGCTCCCATTTGGCGTTGGTCATTTTATCTAGGCGGTT